ATTAATTACCTTGTAGTTCATCAGGTGATTCCAAGTAATAAATATAGCCTTCATTGTGCCCTATGAAACAGACTCCAACGGTATGCCTATCGATTGTTTTGCTTGATGGTCCAAGTTGAAGTTAGCGACTTGTATTATTATCATTATAATGGACCACTAACCCATGAATCTTAGTTTGAGTCTAGCTTCTTTGAGAATTTTTCAGTGCTATTCCTATTTTGTAAGATAACTTTTGACATGTAGCTGCTGAGCACACGTGATGGATCATCGGGATCACTATAAGGTAATAACCTAATCGAATCACATCTGCTTAAAGCTGTTTGTTTGATACTTTTCCTTAACTGTAGATCAACTTCTCAAATGTTGTCGGTAACTTTTAACAATTGTTTAGAGCATAGTTAAGCAGTACAGTGATCTTTTTTGTATAAGGGAACATCTCATACAGTTGTTGGAAGTAGCACAAATTGTTTAATTAGAATTCAGGGGTCATCGTAAGACTTAGTTATTACTTTCCCTACTAAAGCTGGTTTGGCTGCATATTAGATATAGCGATCAATTTCTTTAAACCGTCTTTCGTAGTTTGGCTAGACACACATACTAGTCCCTTATTATAATACTTATTGTCTACTCACCCAAGCACATTGGGAATGGTACATTTACGGTCTGTCTTGAGTTAAAGAAGTCCATCTAGTTCATACTATTAAATGATCAATGAACTTTTATATAGGAGTGATTTTTGACAAGAATGAACGTAATTTCATACTTAATTTGTTTACTTGATGATATAGTGTACAGTGACAGTATTATTTAGTTGATGACGTTTCAAGCATAAATTACTGCTCATAATCATGTCAATGTAATCACACAACTTTCGACATCTGATTTTTATAGTCCTATGACCTCATATTTTTTTTTTGTTTTTGTTGGTAGTAAAATTTTCCACGTCTCTAGTATGTTTTGCATCATTCCTCTTACATGTACTACGTGTTGATTCGATGAACAAAGATTCAACAATCAATCAGTCTTTCTCTCTATCCACCTAAATATATTAGACTTGAGTACAGTAGTTTTATTTTACGCATTTGTGTGATTGTGTTAATGCATTCACTGCAGTAGCCGAGTCCTTTTTTTCTTGAATTTCGATAGCATAATTAGAAGACGAAGTTTATCTAAACAATGTGATGTATTTGCGCAATACATTTCGAACAATCTGATCCCCCACACATTTACTTGTCAAGTCAATATATATTAAACCGAGGACTGGGAGGGGGATAAGTACAACAATTAACACAATAGAGGATTAGAATTACGAAAGATGAGAACAAACAGGAAGTGACATAGTTGATCCTAATCTTGGTAAGAAGACAAAGTTTACCAAGGTGGATGTAGTGTAAGAACAAACTATTTTTGTACACACAGATGGTTAAAATTTGTGTATGGCTATGGCTTCCGCAAATTTCAGAATACGTCCCTGAATGTTTCTATACAAAACTTTGAAAGCTGTTTGAACATTAACTTTGTGACCTGTTTCTACGATATGTTTAGCTATAGATGAAGAGGGCTGTCTCCCATCAGCGTTTATCAGTGTTTCACACTCTATTTGTTTTTGAAGCTATTCAGACACATGTTCTCCCACCCTCAACTGCATGACTCGATTACTCCTCCCTATGTATGTGTGACTACACACACATGTGAGTCGGTAAACACAATAGGATGTGACGTAATCACTGATACAGTGTTTAGGTTTTTGGTGAAGCATGTGTTTTGTTTTCTCTACAATGACAAGATTCGCCGCGTAATATGTTTTCCTAATGGCCAGTATCAGCCTACATCTCAAAATGATACTATTTAGCTCCCCTCTGTATGGTTGAGTGATATGGATACTCTTCTTATGGACCCTGTATAGAGTTGGCTTTGGTGCCACTTGACCTCTACAACGGTTTATAAACTTCATCGGATATCCATTTTCTCTAAGTGCTTTGGCCAGTAATTTGATGCCTTCATCCATCGCATCTGGTATACTGATACGATAGATCCTATTAAACAGGCATTTTATTAGACCTCGCTTGTATTAGATTGGACAAAAACTGTGAAAATTCAGGTATTTTCCTGTCAGTGTAGGCTTACTGTAAAGTGACCATCTTATTGAAGCATCTTCTCGTCGACTCAGGAGTATATCTAGGAATAACAGTTGATTATTATTCTCTTTCTCTCAAGTCAGGCTGATGTGAGTTTGTACGGCGTTAAGTCTATTTAGTAGACAAGCCATATCCTCATGCCTCTCACAAATCACTATGATGTCATCAACATATCTCTTGTAAAGAGGAACTTTAGCGATGAGATCACCAGCCAGGTTTTCGATATATGACATAAATATGAGCTAGTAGTGGTCCTAATGGACTACCCGTAGCTATACCGTCAACTTGTCGAAAGCGTTCACCTTCAAATGTGAAGTGGACTTTGTCGGTACACAGCAATAGTAACTCCTTCAGAGAGGTTGGAGTAATAGGGAATGGAAGGTTTTTAGAGGATATATAGTTACAGAGAATGCTAATAGTCCTGGACAATGGCACGTTAGTGAATAAGGAATTTACATCGAAAAAGTACATAATCTTGTTTTTTATATTCATGTTACTATGACAGTCAACAATTTGAAAAGAATCGTTCAATGAAAACTTACGGAATTCGTTTCGAACTAGATATTAACATTTTTACCAACCATCTCGTCACTTTATGTGTGTTATGTGTTTACGTCTGTTAATTGTTATATTTGTCCTCCCCCCACCAGTCCTCAGTTTAATATAAATATATATTGACTTGACAAGTAAATGTGTGATCAGATTGTTCGAAGTGCATTACGCAAATACATCACATTGTTTAGATAAACTTCGTCTTCTAATTATGCTATCGAATTTCGTAAAACGGACTAACTGTTCCAAACTTTTTTCTTGAATATTGATCTTACTGGGATCCGTCATTGTACATTTGACTGAATTTCTATGTTCACGCCAACCTGAAATCAATAAATTCTTGTGTTCCGATAATCTAACTAACCGCGATTCGCTAGTTCGACCTATGTATGTGACCTTAGAGTCATTGCATGGGATTCGGCAGTTCAAATTACGCATACAAACTTAAAACCTCATTTGGAGATAAGCCTCATCAACCTAAACACGCAATAGATCCAATTAGACAAAATTGTGAATTTGGGGTTCCTATCTTTTTGTAAGGAGCGAGAAGAAGGGCATACGCCCGCTGGACCGATGGAAAGATCCTAGAAGATTTGAATTTCGCCTATGATGATGATGATGATTTATGTCTAGTGTCGCACGAGCTCGAAGATCTACAGGCAAAAACCAACAAGTTGATAGAAAACGCAGGGCAGCGAAGACGGGACTTCCTTCAGGTGGACGTAGAGAAGACGGTGACGAAGATGCCCAACCAACAACAACAACTACTACTACTACTACAAGCACCAATCACCATGAATGGGAGAAATCTAGACGAAGTTGTCCCTTTCACCTACATAGGCAGGGCAGCATCGTTTCAACTACAGGTGGCGGCACAGGCACAGATGAGGATGTCAAGGCAGCCAGCATCGAAAAGACAGTAAGACGGGCCTTCATTAATCTGAAATCGGTGTGGAGATCTACTGCACTGCACTGCACTGCACCCAGCATAAAGCGTCAACAAGATCCGCATTTTCAACACTAATTCAGTCAAGTAAGTCAGTGCTTCTATGTGATGGTTGAGAGACTTGGCGTGTTACAAAAAGCATCTCCAACAAACTACAGACATACATCAACAGCTACCGTCTACGCTCACTCGATACTGACACTGAGAATCAGATGACTAGAAAGAATAAGCAACAAGGAACTCACTCTGGCCTGGTAACGAACTGATCAAGAAGCCATCACCCGACAAATATGCAGAAGAAAGTGGAGATGGATTGGATCGGGCATACACTGAGAAAACCGATTGAGGACATCACGCACCAGGCGACGCCCTTGAGTGTAACTGCAAGGGGAAACGACGAGTTGGACGTCTGAGGGTGACATGCAGGAGATCGTGTGAGGAATAAATAAAAGCTTCTGGACAGTCATGGAGCTAGGCTAAAAAGACTGCAGAGAAGAGAGTGGAGTGGTGACGTACTACTGAAGCCCTATGTTCCACTGGGAATCCAAGGGACAAATAATAGTTTTTTTGTGAACATAAACACCAGGTTATATTAGCATTGTATTATTCCGCGTCTGTCGGAAGTGTTTTGTGTTTCACATAAGAATTGCTTGCCCTGCATCGTAGATGGAGTTAGTAATTTAGCGAATGTCGATGGAATGGAATTACCTACCTTTTTCAATCAAATATATATATTTAAGCAGATTGGCTAAATTTCCGCTTTCAAATTTATAGGTCTCTGACTTTACTGAGGTAAGAGAATGGAAGAAACCTCATGGCCATTGAAAGAAAATCTGGTACTAATCTACTAAGTCTTTAACTTTTGTACTCAACTGTATGTAACTACTGTAGGCCTTCTGGATGAAGTCACTAAGGCGATGGAAATCGGTCCAATCAGCTCAGTAGTAGCGTCGCTGTCTCCAATACTAGCTGATGTGGAATTGAATCTCACCGGAGACATCACTTCTTTTGAGGTAGTAACTGCCTTTTCTGAGGAATGCCAATAAGCACGAAACCTAAATCTAGGGCTTCCTGCCGATTACCTCCAACCAACTGACATCTGTCAGTTAACTACGATGGTAAACTTTCTAGCTTGATGATCACATTGCAAAATGATTGATAGAACTTGTTCACCACTTAGAAATGGATAACATGAAATTGGTTTCTCTCCAGTGAACTAGCATAATAAACCGGGTGATTAAAGATGTGGGTAACGTGGTTTTGCATCTGGTCCAAAGATTCATTTATGTATTATGTTTCCCTGGATGGTGTGACAACACCAGTTGTTTTGATGGAATCATGGTTATTATACTGTTCTTTTTCAGATTTTGGGCATACCTACTTACATGTCAGGAATGGCCCGTGGTCTCCTCGGTCGGGATCATCAACTTGGATTTCGTCATGCACGTCGTACAGCTCTTCGTGAGGCTGATTTAATCATTCTAGCAGGTTTGTTTCCTGTTTGCATATTATCTTTGTATTACTTGGTAATAACTTGTAATGGAGTACATGATATCATTTTCTTCCTGTTTGTGACTAAAATTGATGTATCCCTTCTCAGATGAAACTCCATCAGAACATCTATCTCCTCAAATATCTTCACAAGGGAAGGGTGGTGATATTCTGACATGGATTGATCTTAAATATGTAAAGCGGTCAATTTCAAGATTTAGTGTTAACATGTGACCTTTTGCTATCATACCTTAGTAAATTGCTTAAATAACGTTCTCTGGAGCTTGAAAGCATCTGTGCTGAGTTCATATTTTAATGATTGCACTGTAGCCCCCTGTAGTAACTCATGACTAGTCGAACACAGCAGCATCATTGATACTCTTTCTACTTACTACCATTGGGTACGAAGACATGTTTTGCGAAGGCATTAATGAGAAGAGCAGATATTTGAAGAAGTCATGAATTACTGACCACTGATGCCTTCGATGTAGTTTAGCGATGTTGTCGTCAGGCAGATAATAGATGGGTAAAACAAACAAGTCGACAAAGACATCAAGATTTGCTAAGTAAAATGACAAGGTCATATCACCCATGCACAAGTGTTGCGTAACCATATGTATAGTATGTGGTACCTAGGACATATTTTTTTTTGTCTTGATACTGACCGGAAGAAACGAAAAATTGGCCAATGTGTGGCATGGCACTGCGGGGTTAGGGATATTCGCGTCATGTTAACATCTGTAGGTTTTTCGTGGCTCCCAAAATGTGGTTCGCCGGTTCAGGTACGACTTTCAGCTGGTACGTCAAGGGTTCTAAGTCCGTTCCACTTACCAAGATCTTATAAGCTAGGATGTATCATTAGCCCTCCCACAATATGTGTAACTCATTGTCTGCTGCACGACCGAACATATGGTTACTGAAAACATTTTGCTTGCAGATAGAGTCTGAGTGGCCATGAAACTCTGGCCTGAGACAGTAGTAGACCTAGTTTAGAACCTAAACGTATAACGATCATGCTTCAGTTTTCTTGTTTCTCCCATTACTGAAAAGCAAAGTGAAGATAAAATATGCTTCTTTGGATGTATCTTAAAAATTAATTCTTTTATAACCGATTTCTGTTTTTGTTTCCATTCTCTCTACTTTCTGTATACTCATATTGTTGCTTTATTACTTTGTAAAATGCTTCTCTTGGTACCTTAGTTGTATCGAGTTTGTGTTCTAAATAGTAAAATCATATTTGGAAAAACGCAACTGGTTTCAGCTTATCATTACAACAAAGTAATCAGAGATTGCGCAAGCTCACCAGTGATGGTTATTTTATGTGATGCATACCCAAATGCATTTAAAATTCATTAGTTTTGCAATACACCTTGCCACTGGTTTATTTAAACAGCTTTTTTTTCGGTCCTTCGGGAAATTAACAGTTTACCGTCCTAAAGGGAAACATGAATGTTACCTACCAGTATCAGCCATTTCGCTCCAAACCTTTTGTGTACACAGATTGACGTTTCATAGCAAACATTCTGATTACACTCTGACTGGTTATCCTAATGTGCGTTTACATCTCACTTTGTTGGTTCAAATTTTGCTAAAGCTGTCACTTTTTGCTTTTACATAGTTGCTGATAAAATCATTGAATAAATGATTTTAAAAATATATATATTTATTCACCGTTTCATTCACTGTCTTTCATATTTATTAAACTAACGATACTACTCATCTGCTTCGGTTTAATCAAATAAAAAGGGATTAAAAATGTTCACTTGGTGAATGTATTTTAAGTGCTTGAATCAGCTAACCCCAGCTTCGTGAAATAAAACTGTCCATTTTCATTACGAAACAGCTTTCAATTTTTAGCTATCTTTTTGTTTCATGATGTACTCTTTTTTCACGTTGGTAATACGCTAATTATCCGCCCCCCTGTTTATCTCTTTTTCTCTTCAATAGGCGCAATTTGTGACTTTCGTTTAGACTATGGTCGTGTATTGAATCGAAAGGCAAAAATTGTTGTTATCAATCGAAATAAAAAGAATATATATCTTGTAAGTTATTTTCCATGCATATCATTAATATCTGTTATTAGTTGAACTTTTCTTAATTTAATTTTAACATAGTTTTCCCTTTTTTCAATGTTAATATTTTGTTGCCTACTAGAGGAATATATTAGGTAAAGACACATTGCCAACATAGTCTTCAGTTTTGTCAAATGCTACGAAATCAATAAGAAAGAGATGTGATGTGTCAGTGAATATAAATATGGCAACCATCACGTTTACTTTTGAAACAGCAGATAGGCATTTGTGTGACAGCAAAAGCTAACGTTGCTTGACAACTACCGAGTATCTGGTATGCTAATAACAATATATTGACGGATAGAATGGTGATTCAGAAAATTACTATTTAGAAAACTCATTCGCAGTAGATCCGTCAAAAGCTGAACATAAGATATATGAGTTAGATGGATATACGGTTACATCTTGATAAGGACTTGGCGTAAAGAGATAGAGTTGAAGAAAACCAACTAAAATAAAACTCACTTGCTAGAGAGAAAAAACCGATATCACGAAGTAATAATTATTATAGTGGACAATGAAATGCTATTTATTTCTGAAAAAGCAAGTATGCCCCATTCATATAAGCATGAATAAGGTCTTGTATAAGACAAAATCTTGGCATTATTATAAGTTGTAACAGTCTTCGCTTTGTAGTGTGAATCACCACATAGTTTTAAAATAGTTGAGAGTTAGTAATAGAAGTGCAAGGAATAATAATGACTTATTTTCAGACTTACAAACATTGTTGTTCATCTGTCATTATAGTTTGTGTTGTCAGCGTATTGACAACATTGTAAACATGAACGATAGAATTCAATAAACGCTGTAAATCTGAAATGAAAGTGGTTACTCTCCAGCGTCTTATCAGCGTATTTACTACATTCCAATAGTTCAGTTATAGCTCATAAAGTTTTGTGGTGACCAATATCTCTGTCTGCAGCAATAGGAGGTAGGAGGTTAGACCTTTGATATGACATCAGTCCGCATGAAGTTACACATACGCCTTATTGATGCATGAAACCTTATTCCAAAAGGATCTCTTGTTGATTGCCTCCAACATCGGAGCAGTTTTATGTTCTTTTTTACTCCGAATGCTCAGAACCAATGCAGTAGTTAGTGCGTTTTTCTTCACCAAATTAGCATCACCTGTTTATTTCTTAGGCTTCAGGTAAGGTGAGAAAGTTGGATCAACCATATGCAGACCGACAAAATCAACACAGAACCTCACGCAGAAATCGATCGGTTCAAGTTGCCACACTTCACAGCAGCATGCAAAGAACAGGTCTATAGAAAAGTAGTGATATTAATGTAGACAAAGGAGCATAGGAAGAGAAGTAATTTAATATGATGAACCTTTAAAAGACGTGAAGGAGTGAATAAATCTGCACCATTGTAACTGGTTTTTAGCCGCTTCACCAAGTCTGCAACCATTGATTCCTGTAATCTCGAGGACCAGTCAGTAGACACCTCTGCGCACGGCTGACTAAGAAGCTAGAGAACTGGCGCCGAGTCTTAGTCTGCTTACTCTGAACCCTCTTCCAACATAATCCACTTTCTGTTATCACTGCACGTCGAATTATGTGGTGGTATAGCAAACTCAACACACATAACCAAGCCACCTCGCTGAAGGTTCACAACCTTATCGACTAGCTTGTATATCTTTCCCAGTACACTTCGCCTAACCTCAGCATTGCTCACATGCTGGTTCCACCGTACGCGAGCAGTGTTGAGAAGACAGCTGTGGTCGAAACCTTTTAACCGCTTCAAGTTTGCTACTTTTAACGACCATGTCTCACACCCTTATAACTGGACAGAATGGACTGCAAGGCAGTATACTCGTCCTTTGATAGATAGTTGAATATCTGGCTAGTCGGCACCACAGATGACCCAGGTTGGCAAATGCCGAACAGACACTTTATATCCAAGCTGAGATTTCGTCAGCAACCAGGCGGTTTCCAAGTGATTGAAATGGTCGACGCATATAACCACTTCACTCTCCATCCTTAGACTGAGAGCAGTTCCAGACTAGTCCTGGAACTTCATCTTACATTTGACAGGTCCAAAATGCCTGCCAAACGTAGAAAGATTTTTGCTCAAAGCGTTCAGGGAACCCTGAAGTTTATCAGCAGACAAATAACTTAAATAACCTACAAAATTTGATTACCATTCTCCCTGGTACAAATAACAAGTTGTCCAAATTTCATTTTACAGAATGCTGACTATTTCTGGAGACCGTATTTCACCATTCAAGCTGATGTGGGAACAACACTGAAAAATTTAGCGCTTGAACTTCAAGACCATAGTTTTGCTACTCATGAACGCTATTTTACGGAATGGATAGATCTTTTGAAGTTGCGCGAACTGAAACGAGATGAAGAGATTAGGTAACCTTTTTTATTGATGAAAACATGATGTTTTCGTTTGATTCGATGTTTTTGAAATCGTAGTTAACGTATTCGTCAAACTTCCAAATTTCAGCGTTTGGATTTTAGCTGTCAATCTCTTTGTAATGTGAATCTTTCAAGCATATTGTATTTTTCTCATCGCTTCTTCATTAGACAGTCGTAACTGTTTCTATTATCCATTCACCTTGGTGGCTGTCTTAAATTTACACCCTATTGCAGCTGACGAAACCTTAGAAGCTGGGATGATATGGCGATAATCACTTCCTGAGTGAACTGTCGATATGTTGACAATATCACAATGCGTATCAACTGTATGATGAGTTTTATATAAATGTAAGCTTGTAATTAAAAAAAAACTCATAAAATTCAACTCGGTACAGCTGGTTTGTCCTAGGCTATAAACCAGACTTACATTTTGAGAACTTACAAAATTACACGGTCTCTCAAGTCGAAGTATTTGGAGTAAAATCTGAACTCATACCCATCGCTTTTAAGTCAAATATTTTTGACAATGAGCCACATTTAAACGTTGTCATTCAGTAATCGATTTGTTTATTAAACTGTGGCTCGCCAATTCAGGCAATCAACTTTCAACAAGTGGTTCATGGGTTCAAACTCCACCTTGCCTTCCGAAGCTTGTCAAATAGGTTGCATATCATAGTCCTCGTAATTAACATGGCTGAGAGCCTAGTGCATGAACCTGCATTTAAATTCCAAATTGTTTCATTTTTTACTTATGACATCATTCTCTTCAGTTATTTTAACTCTGTCTGATCTCTCTGCAGCCAAATCAAGACAGGTGTTTTTATCCATAAATCTTGTTAACAATATCTATACATCGTCGGTCTACTGCAAATATTAAACAATTGGTTAGGTTTTAAATACTACATAGCAATTTTGCACATCCTCAATTTTCGTCATTTTGGGGGTTAATGAATCAATTAGAAATTATCATCTCACTATAAGTGTATTGTTTGAAGTGAATATGTTTGTTTGATTTTTAGCTAGTGCGGTCTGTCACATAACTCATAGTTCCATCGGAATTTGCTGCACATCCTATGGTGTGCGTTATGCGTCATTCTGGTGCTTAAGTAATTGTCGTGTGACGAGAAAATTGCCTCACTGTCACCTTCGTTCATGTCATACAATCCCATGCCTTTGACAAACTGCGTGTTAAGTATTTACATTTCATTTTTCCTGTTATATCTTCGAACGCCAACTGTTAAATATTCCGAACGAATATAATACGCACGCTTAGCTGACAGCGAACTTAGTACGCAAGAGGCACTGACTGCAACCTCTGGACGAACAGAGAGAAGACCGAAGCTGGGATGATGGGAGAATTTATTTCTCTCAGAGTATAATAATAAATCAATCCCAAAACACGTTAACATGTACACACATGAGAAATGACCTTGTCCGCAATTTGAAGCACTGGCACAGTAGGAGTAAAGAATAACCAATCGGTGAATTACATTACGATGGGGCAGAAAATAAACTACTAGTCATACCGTAAAATATGGTGTGAGAATTCCAAGTTGAAAATGTTCAGGTCAATAACAATGTTTTATGAAAAACTAGGGCCTCACAACATAACCGCACTGAAGAACCTCTAGGTGCATTCAACACAGGGATGTGTTAACACTGTTTTTCTAGTTGCAGTTTCTGATCTCACATACAACTGACACTATCACTTCAAAATGGCCGAAATTTATTTAAGCTATTGCTCACCGGCTTATTTACTTAACTTCCAACTTCAAATACGATCTCCTCTAACCGGTAAAATCACTGATTACCCCAGTTTTCAAGAATGGCGAGAACACTTGTGATAGCCACAGCGGCCGACGAATAAAGTATCTAAAATCCTAGGCCCTATACTTTTTCGACGCCTGAGTGGAGCTCGCTAACAACAAGCCCGAGAAAACCCGGTAGGCTTTAGACCCGGTCGTGGGTGTATCGACCAAATATTCACACTGTGCCAGGTTCTGGAACACAGACACTCTTACCGACACCCGACAATAGCTGCATTTCTCGACCCGAAGGCAGCATTCGACCCCATTGATCGAGAAGTCATATTGCAATGTCCCTCACTGAAAGGCGTGTCGAGTAAGCACATCATCTTATTGAAGGCTCTCTACTCGAACACTCGTGGGCGTGTTAGACACTATGGTGAGATGTTCAGTAAGCCAAACTCGTCGAGTGATGTCCATGAAGGGTGCCCACTGTCTCCATTCTCATTAAATTTTATCATAGATATTCCTATGGAGGTCTCCCTCTCGTCACCTGATTACACAGAGGTTGACCTAATCGGTGGAGAATTTTTCCTCATACCTAGAATACGCAGATGATATAGTCCTGTTAGGTGAAGTCGCTGACAAGATGCAGAGTCTTCTGGACACTTTGAGTGGCAGTTTGAGCGTGTTTGGGATGCGGTTCTCACCACCCAAGTGCAAATTGCTGCTCCAGGATTGGTCTCCAACGGTGCCTCACCGCGACTAACAATAGAGAGTGTAGTGGTTGATTGTGTCAACCATTTGACTTACCTGGGAAGTAGGATCAGCCCTACCCTGATGGATCAGTGGTCGATGAAATCTCTGCACAGATACAAAAGGCTCGGCTGGGTTTCGCCAACCCTCGCCACCTATGGCGCCGCCGTGATATCTGTGATATCTTCTATTGAGCGTCGCGTGTACTGCACAGCAGTCCGGTCTGTTCCACTGCATTGCTGAGAAACATGGCCATTGAAGGTGGAAGACATGAGAAGGCTTCAGATGTTTGACAACGGTTGCCTTCGTAGTATAGTTCGCCGTATTCCGTGGTGTCACCATGTGAGTAACACAGACGTCAGGTGTAGAGTTTTAGGGAGTTGAGATAAATCGGTTGACGAGGTTATGAACCTTCATCGACTGAGATGGTTGGCTCCGACATGTGTTACGTATGGCTAGTCGCCGATTGCCTCGTCACACAATGTTGGCCGAAGCAGGTTGAGGCTGGAGAAAGGCCTGAGGTGGCCAGACTAAAACATGGCATCAATGTATGAAGTCTGTGACTGTTGGTTTGAGCCATGTGGGGCGATATAGACTAGGTGGTTGGGGTTTGCGGGGCAAGAGGAACCAGTGGTTGGAGAGTCTAGGTGATCACATGTCTGAGAACCGATGTCAGTGGTGCAGATGTATACACACGTTATCCTCATCTTCTTGACGCTGTGCCGAATTTCACCATTTTCTCATTCTTCGTTTCTCTCTTTTAGTACTTTAAATTTCTTTTGACTGAATTTTCTTATTTTCATCTTGTACTTCACTGCCTGTTCGCTTGATGTACTGATATGAAGTGTGGCAACTCTTACCGTTACCTAGTAATGCCTGGTCCTATGTTGATATTTATGGTGGTGATATTGAACCGCAAATCTTTTCTATCGTTCATTGTCCTTCGAGCGACTGGTCTTACACTCAGTTATATCTGTATATGCGTTTCACTTTGGAGTTCGCGAACCTACACAACTGTTCTCTGTTTAAACCATCGATTACTAGTATGATTAAATGGGATAAATTCCAATGAGGAAGTTCAGGTTATGCGAATGTTTGTAATGATCATAAGACAAACGCAAACTTGACTTTATTTGAATCGTTTATTTGAAAGGACGGATGTTGCAAATCGTATACAATACTTGATTCTCATCTGTTCAAACAGCCAAATTTATTTTATGTGAGTCATTTGAATCCAAGCTCTTCAGACGTATATTGGAGGTTTGTTATAAGAATAAAGTGTAGAAGATGAAACATACAACTATTCAGAGATTTCTGGTTTCTCGAAAAGATACTTTTGGTCAAACGTTATTAACTAGCCTCAATGTATATGGAGTATCAGTATCCTCATAACCCCAGTAAAACCTCTTATCCAAAGCGTAAGAATTTTATGTATTGTTATCAGTTTCAAAGTTCATTTTTGTACTCACTGTCCAACCACTCAGTACATAAATGTTTAACACGTTCTGCTTCACTACCTGGACGATTTCATTCCCTTTTTGTTTAAGCCGGTAGTTTTTTTAAATTGAAGTTACGCTGATTATCAAAGAAATTAGAACTGCAAGGTAAATGACTTCAGTGTTATCTCCACTGTTGTTGATATTCTCAGAAGTTATGCATATTTGGTGTTATTTTCCTTTCAGATCAAGCTGCCAATCTGAAGGTGTTGAACATAACAATCCACTTGCAATACTCTGGAAGTTAGAACATTATGGTTTGCCAGCAGATTCCTCCTCTGAGGATAGTATTATCGTTGCTGATGGTGGGGATTTTGTAGGATCGGCGTCATATATTGTACGTCCAAGACAACCATTGTCATGGTTAGATCCCGGCCCGTTTGGAACACTAGGAGTTGGTGGAGGATTTGCTTTAGGAGCTAAATTATGCCGACCAAATGTAAGTCTTTATGTTCTAACTGAAATCCAGTGAATGTTACTGGCATACTTCAATTAAAAAAAATCAAATGTTGTTGTTGTGGAAGTATTACGTCATACGTTTTCCTGAATAATACCTATTTTAAAGATGACGGAAAAGAAAATCTTGTTACTTGAATGTCATTCCAAGTTCATATAAATCTACCAATCATTTCCAGGGTTATGCTGTACCTACCAACCCGTTCTAACAATATTGTAACTACGAGTGTCACAGTTTGAGATGACTCATTTTTGTAATACTTCACTGGATGCTTGAACTACTGTTCCTTCATTAAACCAATCAAAAGAATGGACGTCGTATCTTGTTGTTTATCTTCCGTAAACGGGGAATTTTCTACTAAATGCTAGAATAAATAATTTTGAAGGTTTTTAGATAGGTCTTTCTTGTTATATATATATATATATATATATATATATATATATATATATATATATATATATATATATATATATATATATATATATATATAACGGCAAGGTAAAGATTTATTTACGTACTATTGAAGGAAGGGAGTGGTTAAATATCGTTTACTGAGCTCTGTAGACTCCGCTCATCAGATGAAAGTGATCTAAATACAAAATAATCGCTTTAATACATTTAGGCTAAGTTCATCATCAGCCCGAGGCCAAACATTAAATGATACTGCACAAATTAGTCATCGTGGTAACTCATTTTAGCGCAAATGCCTCTTATGTGATACACCTTATCGTTGCACCATTGTAACCACTAACACAAGTGTGATTGATTTAAACTCACCAAAATAACGTTACATTAGCTTTAACCTTCTTCAGTTTTCTCTCAGTATTGTTTTGAAACGGATACCACACACAAACATTGGATACACTAAAAGCAAGTTCATTCACTTTGAAGTCTTGCATATTGTTTAGTTGATCTTAAACTCCCTTCTTCTATTAACGATAAGGAGACCGTAATTCTAGATTTGATGTCATATTAAACATTTTCAGACTTACATACTTCTATTCGCAATTAAGGCACACTTTTTATTCTTTTCACTTATCTATTGTGACACGTTAGAAATCCGTCTAGAAAACATTCACCGAGACCTAAATTATATTGGTTAACTTCACATATTTGATTTCAAATAGTCGTTAGTGCTACCGCTTAATCAAATAAAAAGTTATGGATCTATGTTCTTAAGTGTACAATAATAAAACTATTTTCAAAACGCTTAAACATTTATTTTATACACACTTCCTGGGTGTTTTCATTCTTGTAACGGCCTATATTGTGTAGCTAGGTTATTTCATTCTTATTGCTTTTATCATAAAGTGGTCTTACCAAGTCGTTCTATGGGAAGTCAACTAATTTTCAGATGAATTTCTTACCATCATGTGAAATCGATTATGGAACTATTAAAAATAATGGAAAACTGTTAAAGTATAACGTGTAGACTGTTAAGATGCTTAAGATTGGTTGTGTGATATATCGTATATCTTCGACTAAAAAATGCAATGTTCCCTCAGTTTCTTTGTTCTCACTTTGCTACGAAATATAACTCTGTAACAATAAGAGAAAATTAGCTGGATTGAATAACCATTCTATTGTGTGTTTATCAAAAAAGTTTTGCTAATCATGATCTGATTGGTTTTATAGTGTATATGGCATTTTATATAGACCAATATGATTCCTTTTAGTGTTCATTTAAAGGATTAATCGGATGATGAATTTATTTCAATTTTTATCGGTGAAATTTCGGTAAAAACTACATCTTAATATCCCTACAAATTCAAATAGATCATATTATTTTTGGTTGGTTATTTCCTGCGATGTATATCTGTGAATCTTAAATTTATCTACTCCATTTTCTGTTTTTTTCTTTATGTTAACCGATCTAGAAGTTAGTAATTAAAAAATTAATCTGCTGTTATGATGATATTCAGTACGTCCTGCAAGTATTAATTAGTTAAATCCCTGTCAGTGTTTTTAGAATGTTCACTAATTTTGTATACCTATTTCGACTGAGTCGGTTCAGATATACGTTAGTCGTTCCTAGTCACCGTATGTTTCGATATGCAATGTAAACTGAAGCAGGGTGGTCAAACTAAAACGCAATATCACTCCATTAATATTTTGTTTGATGGCAGTGTCTCTCACTGAAAGGCATGCTTGGTAAGTGCATCACCATGTTAGAAGTTCTGTGTATCATAATGTCACCAAGTCACTAACGTTGAAGTCAGGTGTAGAGTTTTAGGGAGAAGATGCAATTTAATTGTTGAGGTTTTAAATCTTCATTGACTGAGGTGACTGTGACATGTTTTGTGTTTGCCTAGTCACCGTCTGCCCTGTCGACCAATGTTTGCTGAAGTAGGACTAGGTTGCGAAAAGATTTAGAGTCATTTAAACTTAAACATGGCATTAGCCCATGAGGCCTTTAATTGTTGGTCTTTCTCGTGTAGGGAAATGTAAACTCCCGCTGAGGTCCTCGTGACAATCAAAATCGGTGGTTGAAGATTCAATGGACAAACGAACGACGAAACGCACCCAGCCGCTTTGTGCACAACCATCCATCCGGCAATCAGCCACACCTATTGTGTGAGGAATAGTGATACTACCTGCTTGTCCAAACCTCGGTAGATGGGGTGGGGCTCGAACCCATGACCTAGTGGTTGATAGATCATCTCCTCAGACCATAGTCACAGCTCCACTTTGGAGACCGTAGAGGGTACGTCTCCGAATCGGACTCAGTGGCTCAAATGCATCCACATATTTTCTTAATTCTGAACTTCTTACCAAGTTTTTATGTTTTATCTTTTTTTCACGACTTTATACCACTGATTATTTTCTCCCTTTTTTCGTATGTTTTATCACGGTACCTATAACTTCGATGTGTGGATACAGTGTCGCAACTTAGATCGTTGCGCATTAGTGCTGCTTTACACTTACATCTGCAGCTACTAAATGAAAGGATACAGATGCGATCTTATTGGCACAGATACATGCACACTTTGTTTTCCTCTTATCCGTTTATATCACTTTTTGCCATTTACTTTAACCCTTTTTATTTACTGGCTCTCTAGTACTTCTATTTTTTTCTCACTCCTTTTTTCATTTTTTCGTGTACTGGGGCACATTTATGAAACATCTGGCAAGTTGCACCTTCTCACAGTAATTCCAGGTCCCATACTGGTGTCAGCTGACCAACTGCAACTTCTTTCTGCTGATTTTGTACTGAAGTCGAAGGAACGTTATCAAAGACTGTTATCATGTCATTGGTCTACTTGTATTTATTATCGCCAGATGTTCTGTAGGCATACAGATCACCTTTTTAGTGGTCTCAATCCCCACAATTCGCAACAACATGGCAAGAAAAAATTAGTAAACATTTAAATCTACTCATGTGCATATTCATGATTGAAGCAATTGGGTACTCTGTTGCTTAGTGACCGATGTTACTACCTGGTCACTCAAGCGTCGGTAAGTAAAGATGGATTCGAGTCCATGACTTACTAGTTGGAAGTTGAGTGCCTCGGTGATTGAGTCATCGCATTCTATGAATAAAAAGAGGATGATATTAAAATAAACACTAGGGGAAATGAACGAAGAGAAGGAATAAATAAAGGTTAGTGATGTTCAAAATTTTGATAATGAGTTCTTAAATCTACCAAACTGTGATGGATTTAGATCCATATCACTGAGATTCCTCAAATATTGGTTCTTAAATTCACAAGAATTTAATTCAAGCAGTTTACCTTTCCCTATACGGCTCAAATCAGTAGTAAGAGTATTTTTATAAGAGAAAAACGTTGATGGATTTTCAGACCCAATTTACCTGATTTATGCAAATCATAAATTCCTGTTATTACTTACAGTGGAACGAGAATTAACACCATCCAGTCTTTTGACCCCAATTAACCTAAATAATCGAAATCTTGCCTAAATTCAGTATCTCACAGAAAGTATTTTTACTGTTCATATTAACAACTTGTGTCGTGCTTTCTTGTTATCTTTGTGAATTAAGTGATCAATAAGCTAAGATGTTGTTTTTAAGGTCCTGTCCGCTGTAAATTCCTAAATAATTATCTTTATTTTTCCTATATCCAGGCTACTGTATGGGTGATATATGGTGATGGTTCATCTGCATATAGTTTAGCTGAATGGGATTCTCTTGCGCGTCATCATGCCCCTGCTATTGGTGTTATTGGTAATGACGCTTGTTGGTCACAAATCGCTCGTGATCAGGTCGCATTTTTCCAGTCTCAAATTGGTTGCCAGTTAAATTATACACCCTATGAAGTAGTCGGATCAGCTTACAGTAGAAGTGTCGCCAGTGTTTCAGATGATAATACAACTGCTAGTAAGGCAAGTGGTGTTACAGTCAACGGTTTCTTGGTTGACAAACCTCAGTTACATCAGATCAGTCATATATTTGATGAAGTTAAACGATTGTCTAGTAAGGGTATACCATCTATTATGAATTGCCTGATTTCACCGAGTAATTTTCGAGAAGGCAGTTTATCTGTTTGAAAATTTCGTCCTCTTCACATATGCACTCTAACTTTTTCACATCGCCTAGTGTAAAAATCTTTGTCTGTATTTTTTAAAATAAATGTTATATAACTCACTTTTTGTGGGATGTTTAACAAGAGTTTTATTTCATCAAAAATACCTCTTTCGACTATCAATTCTTGTTAACGAACATACAGTTTAACTGCCTTTTTTGATCAAGCGTTTTCCCCCCATTGTTTTCGTGATCTCTCTTATCGCGTCCAGTCTCACACTGCATGAAGATGCACTTATTATGAAAACAAAAATGCTGGTCTTGTGTACTGCGCTTTGTACACTCGATGACATTTGAAGGGAAAAAATCCATTCCAGGATGAAATATATTTACTTGGAAGGCCTTGTAAAACCTTCAGGAAATATTCGCCATAATTTTCACTGTGTACAATTGTCTGGACAAATACTTTTAACGACACACCTAACACAAGCTGCAAACGCTGTAACATGCAGATTGAATGAACCGAATCATGTCCGAGGGTCCAGCAGAGACCATAATCATAAAACTGTTTAGTTTGTTTGTTTTTTCTGTATCTCACAGACTTTTTATCGGGTGACGTTACCTGACTTACTTTTGCATGATTTGCAGCTTTTTGTTGACGGAATGCGATTCGTGTACGTTTTTCGCCTTATTTTCTTTCAAACAAATATTCATATAGGAATTTCTGTGAACTTGTTTAAGCGGTCTTTGTTAAAGTAGGAAGGAGACGAATCAACAGAATCTATCATTAACAACTTCCCAATAGCATACAGAAATGCCACCATAGCCAAATGGGAATCTTCATCAAAGTGCAGGTTTAGCTCGAAGGCTTTTTTTTCACTTCAAATGAGCTGTGATACTGAAACCGAATTTTCATTTAGGTGGTGAAGTTATTCAAGCCTATCAGTGTGAAAACCGATGAAAAACTGAAGCAATCTAATGTAGACTTGGAATATTGCTTTATGAAGTACAAATCAGCTCGGAAGTTTCGAGAAAATTGGCAAATCAAGTAGGACTCCAATTTCAAATCGACAGATACGGACTTACTTTCAGATCTGCTGATAGAAAACTTAAACTTATCGACAAATAACTCAAAGTATCCAAGCAAAAATAGGACTTTCAAGAATGACGCAGCTGCCTGTACGATGGCATTACTGAACTAATAGGTTCAGGACAGCTCTTCGGAGAAACCCAAAAGGTACTCTCCCTCAAATGGTCAGACAGAATGACATGTTGATTCGTTCAAGTTGCCATCATGGTGGCGAAAGGAGATGTTCTGGATGAGTTCTCAGATCTTTAACTTTCAGCGCCCGATCCGTCAACTCCAAACCAATTGTCGATAAAAGAGATGATATTCCGCGAAAAATTCAAGAGGATCCTAGATGTAATCAAACCCAAGCAAAGTGACAAAAGGCAGGGAAACATGGAAGTGAGAAATCAATTTGATTGCTGTCATCGAATGAAACATCAAGTTTTCAAAGTAAACTGATACGAGTGTGTTCATGACCTTCGTTACTCACCACTGAAGTGGACTTATGAAAATAATTGAAAGGAGAAGAAAGGAAAGTGGGGATTGGATGGGCAAACTAGGTGCAACATTCAACCCAGACTATCAATAAGCAGTAGGGTTTTATGCTTGAAGTTCTATTGGGTACCTTTGATTTACCGCAGAATGCAGATCAAATACAACCAACTCTAATAATCAAATCAGCAAAACACTGAATATTTCTGAAAGGGAACTCACACCTTTTACCCGGCTGGGAAGTTTCCGAAGACAGAAATCAACATTTTAAGCCATTCCTGGCCGATAGCTGCTACCTTGACGTGTTGGTCGTGCTTATATATCACAATGACCCAATGAGCTACACTGGCTGAAACGCTTGTTTCCTCGAGGTCCTACCATATCAGAAAGGTTTCTTGGATAATGGTCAGACGGAAAGCAGTTACTGTTTTAGTGTAAACTGCCACTCTATGGTGGGGGTCTGGAGTCGTACTGCTGGCTGGGTATGACATTAGTAAGGTGTTTCCTTGGATGACCAGCAGTTCCATGCTGATTCTGCTCTCCCTACGAGAATGATGGGGGTTAGAAAGGTCGGCCCAAAAAATAATGCACTCCCTTTTCCATGGTCTTCCTGCGTTGGCGGTGTGGTTTCTGTATCCGGCTTTAGAATAATCAAATCTCCTACGAGCAATTCTAAAAGAAGCTCTGTAACATCTCAAGCAGCTGTCCAGTAGGCTCTGTGGGCGCGCAAATCTTTTTCTCTTCCAGTTGTCTCAAGAGAAAATAGCACCCCACGGTGAGGGCATACAGGAAGTATCAACCGCCTCCAAAACTATCAGCACTCAAGGTCCCTGGGATCACCGTTAACTTGAGATATTTACCTTCTAGTTTTCCTTTACTTCTCTCAGTCAATTATTCTACATTTTATTTAGTTTCTCTCTGCTCTGCAGCTCTCGACAACGATCTGAGTTCACAGAACAGCACATCTGGCCCCCTGAAATCGCGCTCCAAATTATACACTGGACCTGCTAATATTCGAACCCTTCAACAAGTCGATCAACACACTTCGCTAACCGAAACCAGCAACTTGGGTTGTGTATTAAGACTCTAGGTTTATATAGAGATATTTGTTTCCAGATGCATACGTGCCTACTAATTTCACAGATATGGTTTCTCAGTTTCGCAGACAAACTCTTGTTTATTCAGATTTATTGTGTTTAAACTATCTCGTGTCAGTGACAATTTCTAGGTTAAGGAAAACAATAACTACTTTATTTATTGCACGTCAATTGTTCATCCAAAAAAAATCAAGTTCTGAATGATACGTCAAAAGAAAGTGATGACACAGATCAGTGGACATATTAGGTATGAAACAATAATAAAAAGGTGGAGGCGGAAAAGGTCGACCGATACATTCCCGATAGAGATAGTAATAGATTGATTCTGTAAGGAAAATGTTGAGTTACTCATGGAGATATCCATGGTTGCACAACAGTGGATTGTTTGTTTATGACAACTTGATGCACATCAAAAACGATTTTTAAGATAAGTTAAAGACACTGCAATATTTGAAGCGTATATGGAAAGAGTGAGATGGATTGGGCAGTCGTGGAGCCACGTTAAAAAGACTGCAGAGAAGAGTGCAATGGAAGCGTGCTGCTGAAGCTCTATGTTCCACTAGGAACCCAAAGGAAAAATAATAATATATGGAAAGAGTGTTATGAAAATATGAAATAGAACTTTGAAGCAAAAGTTTCAAATTTTGTTCACATCAAGTTCGTGTTGAGTGTTTAACGTATGTCATTATCGCCTATTAGACTTAAATTGTGAATGAAACGAAGGGGGTGAGCAGCTAGCTACAAGCTAGAAACTGCATTCATACACCAGATATAGCTCATTGTTCACCTGCTAAACAGTCTGCAAATTAAGACTAACACACTCAGTATGGTTCTAATTGTATGACTGACCATCTCGAAGTACTAACAAACCGCAGTCGATATATGCAAACTAGATGACCTGATCAGGCAAGTTCAAACAAAAGTAGTACCAATGTTCGGTGAATACTGATATAAGTATGGTTGCATTTCATTCACTCTGACTTCTCTGAAAGTCAATGAACTCATTTGGTAATCAGTATTTCCTCTCTATAAGTTTTATTGGCATAAACATCGATGTATTTAAAATAAATAATTCCAATAAGTGAAGTTTGGATTCAACCACGTGTTACCTGTACATGGGTGTTTAGGAATCGAGATTTCGTGGACAACTAACTGTTTCCAACTGTTCTTGGTTAGTGCACCCACACATCTGCTATCCGGTTCTCTACTTTATTCACATACTAATGACAGTGGTACGGAAAACTGATTTCTCTACAAAACATTGTGAATCTGTTCAAACTACCGTTCTTATTCATAACGTGTCCATGAGGAGTTACTCGTTTTGGTGAATAGTATACTAGGGTAGTGTTTGTTTGAGGGGGGGGGGGGGGGTCTATCCACTATTTCATTAGCTTATAGGTGATAAACAGTGCAGCATATCTGGTGTAAATTATCCCGAATATTTCTGGCTGTGGTTATCTTAGTTGATGCTGTAGCTCCAAGGTTTCGGCAAGGTATAATAATGTTGGTGAGCAGATGCCGAGAATGTAAGCATAAACAGTACTTGAAGAAAAAGAACCTGTAAAATAGTGAGTCAAGTTTTCATCTAGGTTTGTGTCTGCGTTAGCCACAGAACGGAGGCACGGAGTTTGGCTACTAAGCTAAGTATATATGTTGACCAGTAAATGATATAGTTATGAAGGGCTCACATTCCATGTCCTCATTGGTCGGAGCTTTGCCGAGATTTAAAAAGTGGTGAATAGAAATTTCCACGAGTGAGAGCATAAAGTGGCGAGCAAGAAAAGTTTACATTTTCATGGTTTAAGAACGGCATACTTATCCGTGTTTCAGGATAACTTCGTCCTTTGGATACAGTGCTCTTGTTGTGCAAAGTTTGCCTTATACCACAGTACAACCAGTTTACAAATAATGAATATGGTCAGTGATTTTTCTACATACATGACTGCTAAGTGCTACTCAAACTTTCCACGATGCCTTGTCTCTGAGATACCTACTACCCTAGCTTGAGATATACTTAAGATAACTTAGTGGATATCTAGTCATAGGGAACTGTTGAAGAAGATTGACTCATTAAGACAGGCACTGACATCAGCAGACTTGTCGTTTGACGCATTACTGGTTGATCTCACATTGCTTGCACGCTGTTTATACTTTTTGATTGAACGTCACTAGTGGTAACGAACCAGCTGAAACTTGCTGTATTGTCTACTATTCATCATTATTCGAACTGATTTGGCTTTTGATACTGTTTTTACTCTCGTTAAGCAAACATTTCAGAAGAAATGAGTGGAAACCTTCAGAGAAGCGATGTGGTGAGTGAAATAATCACCTCAGAATGGAAAGGTTTAAAGAGTTGTCTTACACTGCT